GCACATTCAACAGCACATTCGAAAGCAATAGATTCCTATTCTGTATTTCGGAGCAGAGAAATAATTTCCATTTCGCGCGGTAATTTTCGTTGAAATGCAAATTTCACCAAATTTCCGTATATTTTCCTCTTAAGTTAGTATATTAAAGCAGATGGAAACATCTTGTTGAATCACTTCACATCTTGTTGATTCACTTCACATCTTGTTGAATCACTTCACATCATGTTGAATCACCTCACATCACGTTGAATCACCTCACCTCATGTTGAATCACTTCACATCATGTCGAATCAGGTCACATCATGTTGAATCACTTCACATCATGTTGAATCACTTCACATGTAGTTGAATCACGTCACATGTAGTTGAATCACTTCACATGATGTTGAATCACCTCAAATCATGTTGAATCACTTCACATGATGCTGAATCACTTCACATGTAGTTGTATCATTTCACATTTAGTTGAATGATTTAACAACACAGCGAATGGTTTCAAAAAGGCATGAATCATTTAACAAGTAGACAAATAATTTGTTTACGACTTGTTAAATCATTGCAAAACATCTTGAGCCATTTCACATTGTCTATATGAATTAACGCAACACTAATCGAATTACTGAGACCACTGCGAGGTGAATCATTTCAAGTTTAGATGAATCATTTCTCATCTTGTCCAGTCACGTTACTACGTTATGTTCAATCATTTCTAAACACAATGAATCGTTTGTGTTTATAATGAATCAGTTCTGTTTATGTCCATTCATTTCACATGTGTAGTATTTTTGGTGGTAACGGCCGCCCATAGACACCTAAGGCACTAATAGACAAATTAATAAATTTTACAGTTTTGAAATGGTCTTTCTGCTGCGTAATTAGATCCTTGTATCTTTCCCTTTTGCGATCGACGTTGTTTTGGAGATTGGATTCATATCCGACAGAGAGTTCGAGTATGTACAGACAATCATTTGAAATCGAAAGAAGCAGATCTGGGCGATAAGTGTCACCGGTTATTATTGAGGGGCTCTTGTATCCAGGAAGATCAACAAATAGCGTGGAGTTGTGTTCAGGTTGGAATATTTTTGCGACAAAATTGAGAATGGAGTCATGTCTCCAAGTAAATCGTGGAAGGTATGACTGGCATCCAGCGACTACATGCAGAAGGGTTTCAGGGTTCAGGCAGAGGGAACAATCCGAGTTTGACATTATTCCCCATTTTGTGAGGTTTTTGCGTGTGGGAAGAGTGTTGTTGATGTAACGGATGGTGAAGTTATAGATGCTTTTTGGCAAGCTGGATTGAGATTTGGACCATAGGTTGTTTAGTGTAGACAACGAGAACTTGGTGGTGTTAGAGAAAAAGGAGCCTTGGAGAAGCAGATGATTTTGAAGCTGGTCCTCTTGTGCAGATTTGAAACTTTTAAGAACTTCCTTTGTCGAGGTGTAGACGTCGTACTGAATGTTAGTATTGTCGCAATTTGATTTCCATAAATTTCTTATACAATCATTTGGAGAGGTTTTTAAGGCTTTACGAGAGACTGTTTGGCACTGAGTGAACTTGACGGATGGAGGGTATATATTTAGTCCAAATTTATTACTTGTGAGGAAGACATTACTTAAAGTTCCAGATACGGGTATTTCAAGCCATTTCCGTACGAATTTATTAACTACTGAGTCCATGTTTTCAGAAACCCACGTTTTTGATAAGGTAGCGACAGTAAAATGCCAGGAGAATTTCGATAGGAGATAACGACTATAGAGTAAAATTTTGTTCTTTGGGTGTAGCGGTTTGAGGTCAATTTCTGACATGATATCTTCAAGGAGGGTGATTAGTTCTTGTTTGTGATCTTTGTCAGACATATTGAAATCAAAATATTTCCCTAAGTATCGGAAAGACTCTCCTATTTTAGTGGCCGGTATTAATTTATTGTCAATGAGGAGTCTTGGTAGGTATTGGATTGATTTTGTCAGAATTTTCTTAATGCCAAATGTACTACATTTGTCGACTCGAGTAATCATGTTTGACCATTGACACCAGATTGAGAAGCGATTTAAAAGGTGCTGATTTTCGCTCTCTTGACCGCTAATAACGGCTGCATCGTCAGAAAACTGGAACCAATGGATTGGATTTAAAAATTTGGTCATGAAACCAAATTGGCGGTATTTATCAGCTTTAATGTGCTGAATAAAGGTGTTGAAACACATATTGAAAAGTAAAGGACTAAGACAGTCTCCTTGAAGTACACCTCGGCCAACAGTTATGAATGGGGTAGAGAATTCGGCAGTTATAATTGTGGTGTTGAAGTCAGTATACAAGCTCTTGATAATTTCATTAATCTGTTCGGGAATGTGATGATAATCGAGGACAGATTGAGTGAGATTATGATGCACTTCACCAAAGGCGTTTTTAAGGTCAAGAAGGGTGATGACAACAGAGCGTTGTTTTATTCTCGCTTGGTTGATGATGTTTGTCATTTGAGCTGTGTGTTCCAAAGTGCCAGACAAATTGGGAGTGAAGCCTTCCTGAATCTTTTGTTCAATGAAATTATTAGCCGTTAGAAAGGAGAACATGGCGTTGCGAAGATATGAGGTAAACACTTTTAAGGGTATGGATTCCAGAGTAATAGGACGGAAATTGGAAGGGTCATTTGTATTGCCCTTTTTGTGTATAAGTACAGAGCATGCTTTTTTCCATTCGGCAGGTACAGATTTTGAAGACCAAACGCTACGTATTACTTCTGTCAAGTACGTACGGAGAAATGGACATCGTTTAAAGCAAATTATTGAAAGTTGATCGAGCGGGCAAGGTGAGGCGCATGCTTTCATTCGGCGAATTATAATAATAATAATGGAAACTTTATTAAATGTTTTTCTCTACATACATATACAATCGTAAATCTCTCTCATAAAGGTAACTTACGGTTGGCTATTTGAATCACAATTATACTAAACTAAAATAACAGAACAAAGTGCATGCAATATATATATATATATATATATATATATATATATATATATATATATATATATATATATATATATATATATATATATATATATATATATATATACAATGAGATAAGTCAAATTGTTAGTAAATCCGGATTTTCCCATTCCTTATTTCGGCAACAAAAAATGTAATATGTAGTTCTAATAGCAATAGTCATCATTTTCCTAACGCAGTACATTTGGTAGTTTTTGTCAAGACCAATACTATCTAACATGTCTAAAAATGTATAACATTCTTCTGCAAAAATACCTAAAGAGCTGATGGAGAGATTTATAAATTTAACTTGGTTAAAATTTTTACCTAGCTGTCTCAATAATTCTCTATATTTATCCTTCTTCCGTTTTACGTTGTTTTTGAGGTTTGTCTCATAACCAGTGGTGATCGAGTTCAACCACATATAAGGAACCATTTGAGCACGATAATAACAAATCTGGGCGATACGTATCACCAGTAAGTATTGAAGGGCTTTTGAATCCATTTAGATCAGCGTAGAGAGTAGAACCGTCAACAGTTTGTTAGTTATTATTTTTATAACAATAATAATAATAATAATAATAATAATAATGATAATAATGATAATAATAATGAAAACTTTATGTACTGTTTAATAAACGAGCAGGAGTGTTTTATTAGGTTTAAAGACACGAGCGCGCAGCGCGAGTGGCTTTAGACCTAATAAAACACGACCTGCGAGTTTATTAATTAAACGGCTTTAAACACGACTATACAAATTCAATAGATATACCGCCTTATTAGTATTCTTTATATAAAAAATACTAATAAGGACACGACAACAATAGATACTGCCTTATTAGTATTCTTTATATAAAGAATACTAATTAGGAGTGTTTTATCAGGTTTTAAAGCCACTGCACGTGACATATTATAGCTGACATGATTTGCCAATAAGCTTATGAATTATTAATGAGTGTTTGAATGAATTTTTATGCACTTACAATTGCAAATCTCACTGTTAAAGGTAATTTACAATTGGCTACTTGATACACTATACAATATTACACTACACATGGACATAACTATATGATACAAAAAGTAAGAGACTAGCTAGAAGTTCATTAAATCTGGATTCGACCAGTCCTTGTTTCAAGAACAGAAAACGTAATATGCCGTTCTTATTGCAATATTAATGGTTTTCCTAATTATATATTTAACACCGGCCTTATCTGAGTTCAAATGTTCCAACATTTGTATAAAAGCTGAAGATTCTTTTTCAAAAACACCGAGTGCACTGATTGAGAGATTAATGAACTTTACCGGATGGAATTTTTTCTTCTGTTCTAGGATCATCTCTTTATATTTTGAGTATTTGCGCTGTATATTATTCCATAGGTTAGTCTCATATCCAACGGTTAGTTCGAGTACATACAGACAATTGTCTTTGGTCAAAATTAGTAGATCAGGACGATAGTAATCTCCAGTAATAATAGAGGGAATAGGAAATAATGATAAGTCAGCATAAATGGTCTGAATATGTTCTGATGGGAGGTTATTAGCAATACAATTTAGGATTGAGTCGTTTCTCCGAGTAAATCGATCAAGATAGGAACTGCAGTCAGCAACAACGTGTAACAAAGATTCAGGTTTGAGGCAAAACGAGCATTCAGAGGAAGAGGAGAGTCCCCATCTTTGAAGGTTTTTGCGGGTTGGTAGCGAATTGTTTATGTAGCGAATAGTGAAGTTGAAAATATTTTTTGGTAGTAAAAAAAAAATATTAATAACTTACTGACCGAGAGTGAGGGCAGTACGGGAAAATATCCAACCGAGGTCTTGCTGTAGTGACCGAGCGATAGCGAGGTCAATACAGCAAGACCTAGGTTAAATATTTTCCCGTACTGCCCGAACGGTTGAGGTCAGTAAGTTTTTTATTATATGGCATTGTACGTTTGTAAAAAATGAAAAAAAAAGGTCACGCGACGGCAAATTACAAAGTCCGAAACTTTTGCAAAAAAGAACAATTGTAAAAAATGTTCTCTTGGTTAGTAAAACTACTCCACAGCACTTTTTATATAGAATACTAACACAGTTTCGATAGTATTTCAAGAAAAAACCGAGGTATTTCGTCATTTAATCAAAGACAAAGACAATTACAAATATGAAAACAATAAAATTAATGAACAGTATGGACAAGTATGTTTTTAGTTCGCTTCATCGAGCTCACAAATATGTCTCTTTTCATCGAACAAAAAGAGAAATTTTCGAATCAGGAAAAAAATATAAATCTGTGACTGAATTAGTTGTAGTTTTTATTTAGGATGGTGTCAAATTCCTCGGCTATCTGCAAATAAAATTTACAGCTGTTCACAAAGTCAAAACACAGCTATTCCTGACTGGTTTAATAGTTATAAACATTGTAAAATTTACCTTGTAATTTCGACATTCGCTAACAAAAACATATTGAGGAAGTTCTTTAACGACAGAAGGTGCTCCTTTTCTTTAGTTTAGGTTTATTTTTCTTCGTTTCGAATAATTTGAAAGACTTTTAGACACTTTTTGCTTTTTGAAACTCGGCTCTCGTCGCAGGGCAATAAAAATTACATATTGCCCGTGGGCAATGCGGGAAAATCCTGACTCGTCAGCAGCCAATCAAATTGCGCGATTCATCAAAGCAAATGCTTGCCATATAATACAAAAAATATTAATAAAATATATATTTTTTTAATAATAATAATAATAATAATAATAATAATAATAATAATATTAATAGAACATTTATAGATATATACAATTGTAAATCTCACTTCTTGAGGTAACCTACAATTGACTACTTGAATCACTTATATATGTATGGTTATAATTTTATATACAAAAATTGTTAATTATTTATAGAAATTGAGTAACTTTAAATGTTCATTAGTTCGGGATTTGTCCATTCTTTATT